ACGAACTACTGTTTCAGTGGCACTTTTCTGGGCTTTAAAAATAATTTAATGTTAGCTTTTTGCTCCTGCTTATTGTGTAACAGTGCATCTCTGACTAGGTCAACAAAATGGCGGCTTGTTTGTTGTGTGCTTATCAAGCGGTGATGAAAAGTTGCCAGATCATAGATAAATGTCTCTTTAGATTCCATGCTTTGCTTTATATATGGCACTTTTGTCCTGGCCATAATAAATCAGTTCATTACTTAATTGTCGGACCTTGTAAAAAACACAGTTGAAAAACCTTACAAATATGATGTGTATGGTGATTGTTTCACTTAATCTAGCATTCTGGACAGTCACAAAATTAAACACACAGGAGAAAAACCTTACAAATTACTAGACATCTAAAATATTGTAATGGAACACTTACAGGAGATAAAATTTACAAATTTGATTTGTGTGTTGCTTCTTTACTACACATGGAAAGCTGAAATATTGTGAGAAAAAAACTTTACAAGTATAATGTGTATGGTGCGTTATTTACTTAGTCTGGCAATCTGAACCTAGCAGTTTTGTGTGTGGGTTTTTTTCACTACACTTTAGCTAAATGTCTAAGGGATTTGTTAATATAAGTTTCTGTAAATGTCTGTCCTCCACCCATACACTGCATTTCCTCTGTCCACCAACAATGCCGGCCACTTTCATTGGCATGGCTCTTGCTGATGTTGATTATAACTGGAGTTAAGGGGTGCCAACCCAAACAAGAGCACCACTATAATCAAGGCACAGGTAACCCATTAATATATTCACAAGGGCTGTTACAAACTACTCTGTACTGTGTACGAGTACTGTAACAGAATACACCACGCCAAGTGATATTTCATAGTGCAATCAGTCGGTTTATTGGGGATGACACATAGTGATGAAGATAAATGGGTGACTGGTGGCTCACTGTCAAGTCTCCTAGTACCTTCCACAAGCTCACATCGGCGGTTTTTCTGGACACGGACAAAACACCCCGGCGAACTATGCCCCAGGTGCCTGCTACCAGCAACGTTCACCTGACAGCGTAGATACACTTGTGTGATGTGCAGTGACAAGCCCATTGATGCTTAGTTCTGTAAACGACCCCGCCACTACCTGGAACTCTAATTAGATGCACCTCTTGGTGAAAACTTCAGACCTCCTGTCTGCTATCCGAGCCACTCACTGAAGCATCAATGACTTACATATCGTTAATCAGCCTCCGATGCTTCCCCATCACATTACTACACTGGTTAATATATAAAGTTCCCCAGCACCCTCCGTGCACTCGCACTAGAGATAGTAATTAATAAACCTCCAACTAAATTTACCATACTGACAGATTCATTGTCCTCAGTGCAGACGTTAAAAACACATAAAACTAGCAGTAGATCAGATATATAAAGAAACAATCCTAAATCTAACAACCCATCTCAAGAATAAAGGATGCCAAGTCACCATTGCATGGGTACCAGCACCCAGAGGTGTAATATGCAATGAAAAAGCTGACATAGCAGCCAAAAAGGGAGCAAAATGTGATGTTTTAATAGATGTAGGACTCGGAAAAATTGAAAGGACTAGCATAATCAAACGACACATAATTAAAATGTGGAAACTACAATGGCAAGGGAGCAATAATGGCAATGATGCCTACAACAACCTGAAAGAGCCCAGCCTTTACACAGGTACGGGACAAACTGAAAATCCCAGCTAACAAACTACTATGGAGAGCTAGGTTAGGGTGGCATCCAGAGAAATATACATCTCCACTATGTCTGGACTGCTTACAAGGTAATACAATAGAGCATTATATAATAAACTGCACTAAATATAAATTGGAGAGGAAACCCATTGAGGAGTATTTTCTAAAACGCAAACAACAAATTACTGCAAACAAATGTTTAAAGGTAGATAGCAATAAAGACATCCAAAAACTGGTTAAACAATACCTTATTAAAACAAACCAAAACTGAAAAGACCAGATTAAGGATCTACTCAGTACAACAGAAGGAACTGATCAGATGGTAACTTCGGACACCCTAGCGTCAGAGAGGTAGTGTAAGTATGATGAGTGCATAGATGTGAAGATGGATACATACACAAGGATGAGTGCGTGTAGTATGAGTGCATTTATGTATAGGATGGATACATAAGACACGGTGTATGTAGGCGGGTGGTAAGGGATCACGTAAGGACAGGACAGTGGGAATATAGCTGGGCGAAAGGTACAGATGAATGAGTACATGGATATAAAAATGTATTACTGTATGCATGCATATGTGGGTATGAGTGTGCATGTGTGTATATATATGGGAGCGTGTATATTTATATATTTGTGTGTGTATAAATGACAGTGCACTCAAAGAGCCCATAAATTGTGTTGCTGCATGTCTGTTAATTAATGAGAACAAATGCAATGAGGTGTGTACGCAGCAAGAACGTCATCAACACACACCATCCACCAAAACATGATAAGACAGTACCGGACAGGTCACATACAAGTAACGAGACATAACTTAAAAGTGTCACGACCAGACGAAATTAGAGACATAGCGACACAAAACGCACAAGACATGGAAGAGTGAATGTCACTACGTGTGGATCTACTCGTTTTTTTATGAATGTAAGTACAGGCACCATTGCATGGTAGACGCAAATAAAAGAGTTTGCGTGTGTACGTAATGTCAATTAGTTGTGCATACACGGATAAGTATGAAAGGACGTACAAATATGTAGTTTTGTCTGCGTGTATGAGTACTCGAGTGCATGTACGCATACCCTAGTTAGGTACGTCCATATACTCTGGGGATTCATTCATACACAAAACCATCCCATTCCACAGCATGCATACAAAATGCACATGACCGACAGGACTCACAACAAGATATGACAGACAGCAAATAGGGAAAACAAGTGACTCGATAATGACAGGACTAGTACGCATAACCACCAATACCACCCCATCACTGGGATGATGGCAAAGGTTGGTAACGTGATACACATAGTCCCGGCGAAAGGCCACGCTAGAATCCAGCAAGACGGCAACGACGAGAAATGACTGAATAGCCTCCCGTCCCCTTTCCCTCATCTTTCCCTAACTCTTTCGGATGCACTATGAGTTTAACCCCCCAACCCATTCCCACAGAGAGCACTTGAGCTCGTTGCCCAACATGCCACAGCAATTCTCATCGCCGAACATTTGGATCTCAAAGCGTGAGCTAGATGCTCCGGTTATATGGTATTTACGTACATCTGAGCTTAGCTGTCAACACAACCCGATCACATAATAACAAATGACGACTGGACCCGCTTAAGGCTCCACATAAACTCTCACACACATATCCATTACACGACTAACCCGTTCATATTACAGGAAGACAACTATAAGACCACTATGGTCACACGCGGAAAATTTTCACATTTCGTAACTATTCAAATTCAAAAACTGTTTTCAGTACCTTTTGGCAAAAATAATAATACTCAACATTTTAAAACAATAAATGGTGGTCCAAAGGACGTTGTGTATGGAAGCTCGCTCTCCTTCGAGATACGCCTAGCCAGATCAAAGGGAGACAGAACAAACAGGAAACACCAAGAAAGAAGAAGGAAGACATGCACCAGTGACAACAGGACGAGCGGTTTGATTCGGATGGAAGCATCAAGCCCAGAAATGGCACAAACACTAAAATTCAGTCACGAAAGTGACGCAAATAACCCAGACCACAAATATAGGCGGAGACTGCTAGCAGCCTAGACTAGCTAGCAGCAGTCTGAACGTGGTCGAGCTTTTCTTTTTTTCTCTCAAAAGGACTTGGACTTGGACATCACAATGGAAAAATACTGTGTGCCTAGCCACATAATTGCTTTTCTTTCGCCATCACCTCCATAGTCAAACCACATGTAGCCGAGGCAAACGCACCGCTGTCTTCTTTTACAGTTTTCCCTCCAACCCTAACCACGAAAGCCCATGAGCGTTGTACACGTTGAACGACGAATTCATCGGTGTAAAAAACTACATCGCCATCAGCAGGATGACGAAGGCTTGAACTTCTGCCTCACACCACCAAAGGGCCTTGTCGGCATTCTCTGTCCAGTGTTTTGCATACTGAAAAGGATGAGTACAGCTCTGCTGGCATTCGTACCCATTCCCCACCAGCTATCATGTCCTCGTTTGGAGAAACAAAAACGTTGAATTACGTAACTTGCTTAACCTGCCCAGGTCTTTTTAACATATTAACCTTCTTTCAGCAAAGTTCACTGATGTTTTGTCAGTGGAATGAAGAGACACTTCCGTACAAAAAAACAATGCCACGACGTTTAACCTGCTGCTAGCCAGCCGAGGCCGCCAACAGCAGGTTGAACGTAGTTAAGTTTTTCTTTTCTTTCTTTCTTTCTTTCTTTCTTTCTTTCTTTCTTTCTTTCTTTCTTTCTTTCTTTCTTTCTTTCTTTCTTTCTTTCTTTCTTTCTTTCTTTCTTTCTTTCTTTCTTTCTTTCTTTCTTTCTTTCTTTCTTTCTTTCTTTCTTTCTTTCTTTCTTTCTTTCTTTTGTTTTTTTCTTTCTTTCTTTCGTTTTCTTTCTTTCTTTCTTTCTTTCTTTCTTTCTTTCTTTCTTTCTTTCTTTCTTTCTTTCTTTCTTTCTTTTCTTTTCTTTTTTTTCTTTCTTCTTTTCTTTCTTTCTTTTCTTTCTTTCTTTTCTTTCTTTCTTTTCTTTCTTTTTCTTTCTTTTTTTTCTTTCTTTCTTTCTTTCTTTCTTTCTTTCTTTCTTTCTTTCTTTCTTTCTTTCTTTCTTTCTTTCTTTCTTTCTTTCTTTCTCTTTTTTTCTTTCTGTTTTCTGTGTGGTGTGCGCGCGCGATGCGTGTGCGTGTGTGTGTGTATGTTTTTTTTTTTTTTTTTAATAAGTTTTTAATGAATCTAAACTTTCAAACATCACATTCTTATCTCACAGACAAATAGTTGTAATAAGACTATCTCTCACACAGAACTAGAAAATTCCAACCATCAACGACTTGTTCCTGTTTTGTCTGTTTGTCCTATTAGCTTCTGTGCTAGTCCAAGAACTGATGATTGGCTTTCATGTTTAGTTGTGTACAGCAAGTTTAAACGATGCTGCAGTTCTCGGATCTGTGCCGCCTGAATCTCTGTCACTGTTTCCAGATCCCGAATCTTGCATAGAAACTGTTTCTTCTCTTGTTTAATTTTGTCCTCATTGGCCGCCTCTTTTCGTGCTGCTCTTGCATATTCTAATGTGAGAACGAGGACAGCCATGAGGAAAATTACAGACTCTCCGAGCATTTCGCTCCCTAGTTCAGTAGCCTCCTTCTGGCTAAGTTTATCAACAGTCTGAGCTTGACCTAAGCTGAGGATTCGTAATCTGACATTCACTTCACTTTCTTCTTCTTCTGTGCTCGACATCAGTCATGCTAAACATTGAGTCCCGTCTGGGTCACAAAAAGGATTGTGCGTTTAAGGTCGTCACCGGTCCCCCATAGCTTCTCTTTCAATGTGGCTCCCTTGGGCCAGATCCACAGTCTTTGCTGGGAGAGGTTAGGGCAGTACTGCAGTATGTGCCCAGGGGTCTGTCTTTCTGCTCCACAGTCACAGGCAGCAGATTCTTTTATGCCTATCCTGTACAAGTGTGCTCGAAGACCACAGTATCCAGTCCGAAGTCTAAAAATTGTTGTTTATTCTTTCCTGTTGAGTTTGTTTATGCTGTCACTCTCTGGTCTGTAATCTCCATTCTGCCTTCTCCACTCCCGCTTAAAAGACTGCTTTAGCGCTGTTTTGGTTTCCTTGTAGATGTGTGGTGGATGGGGTTGTGGAAGATTACTCCCAGCTTTTGCCAACTCATCTGCTCTCTCATTTCCTTGAATACCACTTCACACTAATGGTAAAACTGGGCAGGTGGCATACAAATGTTTTTTTTTCGGAAAAAATTGTGTTGATTTTTGCATTTCTTTTTTATACAATTAGCGATGGGTTTGCTGATCTGCTTTACTGCTAGGTACCCAAGTTTGATCAATGGAAACGGAGCCATTGCAGCATATAAGGTCACATTTCGTTTCTTTTCGCGCGTGTGTGTGTGTGTGTGTGTGTGTGTGTAGACTCGGACGTGTCTCTTCATTCCACTGACAAGACATCAACGTGATTGATTGACCTTCTACCCCACCAAGACATCACACAAACGATAAACACCCGATGACACAAGGTGCCACCATGTGGATGAGGATCGCCGTGGAGAGGTCCCAGAAACCGCGTTCAGACAATTGGCCACTTTATGGCCTGCCTTTATTGCGACCCCTGGCAAAAGCCAGGATGGGGCTTCAAACGACAAAAAATTTCGTCCTTAAAAGGACGAAACTGGATATTTTAACATCAACATGGTTGCTTGGGATACGTCAGTTAAGTGACTTTTGTGTATTCGTGTGGTTTTGTTTGATTTATATATGTGCTGATGAAGGCTCTGTAGCCGCAACATTGACATTTCTTGTGTATTTATTATATTGTAAAGCTCGCTGGTCTACTTTTGGTTCGATTTTATATCTGTCCATTATATTGTTTTATAAAGGTGGCATAGCTAGACCAACGCCCATTCAATGTCCAGGAATATCAAGGGTCGTAGCTTGAGAATTTTTTTTTAAAGAGATTGTGTGGACAGTTCAGTCCCCTTGGTATTTGAGTTTGTTAAAACAAGTGTGTTACAGACGCCGAAATGGGAAACAGCTAGACTGGGCAAATAATAATGTTTAAACGAATGTTCTTGAAAGAGAGACCAAATGTGAGTCATCAATAGCTTTAATTTGATTTCATATACATTGCGATAGATAAAGACAACCATGTTATTCAAATACTTCTTCTGCGAAAGGGGACTTTGACTGCAAAAGCGTGCTTGCTAAGACCGCGACCTGCTTATGTAATCACTTTACTTCATCGACATGAAAATAATTATGTGGTTAGTTAGTTGCGTATCCTTTACAGGACGTTTCGGAACCAACCCCAAACAGCCCCTGGCTGTTGTGTGATTTTTCTAGGCAAATTACGTCCAGCAGTTTGCCAGCGCTTTCTGGACGCCAGGCTTTCTTGATACCCCTGTCGAAACCAACGCAAGGCGCATGGCCCACCCCTGGGATCGAACCCGGCATCCCGGCATTACGAAGCGTTCGCATCGACTTAGCCACAAAGCCGACCAATTGTGTGGTTGCAGCCGCAGAATTGTTATCCAACCTTCATTTACTGATTAAACTGATTAATAATAAAACACACACAATCACACATATTGGGGAGGAGGAAGAGGGGGGTGGGTGAGCGATATTCAATGAATTAATTGGAAACGCTAGCACTATATATAAACATATACACATACATATCAGTGTTTGAAATCTCAGCAGGTTCCACTCTGGATAAACTCTTGGCTACAGAAATCCAACCTGTATTAGTTTCCCTTCCCTACTCACAGAAGAGTTCCATTCTGTTTTATTGAATGGTGGATGATCCTATTTTTTCATCTCCAGGTTTCTTTAAGTTTAAGAAAGGTAAATAGTTAGATGACAGTTTATAGATAAGTGCCACATAACACTGAACCTGCGCGCTATCTATCTTGTATTTTAAAATTGGCTTAAATGTGGATATGTCAGCTTAGAATTTCAGAATAAAGTTAAAAAACATAGATTTTGCCTTCTTTGCCGAGTGAGGTAGAGTAGAGTAGAGACATTGTAAGTTTAATAATTGAAATTGGAGAAGGAAATTTCCACAAACTCAATGATTTGCTAAGTTTTCTTTAATGAATTTCTCTAGGTTTTTATGTTTCTTCTTTTGTCTAAAAATGTACTCACGTTTTGTATGTGTATGTGTTAGGGCTGTACCGAATAGTGATTTTCACTATTCGGCCGAATACGAATAGCTGGGCGAACTATTCGGCCGAATGCGAATACGAATAGTGAATCATCATCATCAGGTGCTTTGCCGACTGGCATGGGCGAATATGTCTTTTTACAATCTGCGATCTCCTGCAGCATGTGTTAGTTCGTGTGCTGACACACCTCCATACCATGCAACAAGACTGTCAAGAATCTTTTCTCGTTGACTTCCTCTATCCCTCCTTTCACATATCTTGGATTATGGAGAGGCATGATCGCCAACGCCAGTCTGCAAGGCACATGATGATGATGAGTGTTATAATAAATGATCTTTTAAGCAGATTTTCATTAAACTTGAAAGCATTAATTAGCATGTAAAAGTGAAAAAAATTGCCATTTGGGAAAAGACCCTTACACTGCCAAGGAATCTCTAATAGGGACCAATCAGATTGTGCTAGACGAAGGATTTGTTTGGCTAGTACTTTCTAAGTTTTGAATCTCACAGGCAAAGCTTGATTTTGTTTTCATAAATAATAATTTATAATTAGAATAGTACTTGGAATGGCTTTTTAATTGATATATATGTCCTAGTGTATTATTTGGAGACCGGTTGCTATGTGTCAAACATTGCTATCTTTTGGTATTAAATTTTTTTCCTTTTACAAATATTATTGGCGTGGGGTCTTTATTGTAAATTTTTAATGCTAAATTGCTTACAAGTGGGGGAAATGTTGTTGTGTAATCAATAATATAAATGGAGTAGATTTCGATCCATTAAAGCTACTTGGGTAGGAATAGTTTTTCATCCATTGTTCACATTACCCGTTACTCCCCTTGTGGGTTCCAGGGCCACATGTTGGAGGAAAGAAAGGAATAGATCCAGTGCCACCTAAAAAGTAAGCTGTAAAAGGCGACTAATCAAGATTTTGCTGAAATCAGATGTGTTGGGGCGAAAGGCGCAGATATCGCAGCCTAGCTGTAAACCACAACACAGCGTGCTAACCACCTTCTCAAAGGCAAACAGAAAGAAAGAAATTTACCTACCCATTACATGACTATTCAGCATCTCGTTGCCGCCTAGCTGTCAACCACAAGACCTAACGCATTCCATATTTTTAAAAATCTGACTTCCTGAGGCCTTGAATGGGATTTTTTTTCAACAGTGAATAATTTGGGACTGGTATTCAAAAGAGTGCCCTGTTATGATGCAGTCATGTATTAAATTTTGTAGTGACTGTGGGATATGTTCTGTCTTACAACCATGATCTGATATTATACAAATTTAAAATATTTTGTATTTATCCTTGGATTAATGCATTATTCACTATTGCTTCCAGACTGACTGAAAAACTGAAAGTATTTGATACAATGGATAGTAAGCTGCAATCAGGTGTCAAGACAGAACAAGAACTATCTTACAGTTATCTAGAACACCCTGATATTCATAGTTCTGCACAAAAGACTCTCACTGAAGTCCACTTCTCTAATAATATGGACAGAAAAATACCATCTTTTGTCAAGACAGAACCAACTGAAGCTGATCATGAATACTCAGGCAAATGAGACAGTTTATGATTAGCCACTCCTCAAGATTTTGATTTTCTCCATGGGAGTCCAAACAGTCATAACCCCAACTCAGCGAGTGACTGTTAAAATCTCCGCTAATTAGCAGGTTGCTGTCTTGAACCTGTATGTTCAGTAAGGAGGGTGGGTGGGGAAGAAATGTTGTAGACTGACATATTTGTATTATTGATTTGCAGCTGGTCATCAATGAATTTAGTATTTAGCTGGTTGGATCTGTGTTATTCAACAGCTGGTATTGAATATCGAACCAGCATGACAACCCCACCTTTATGTCTAGTTTCTCTGTCCTGGTGAAATATTTCATATCCTCTTATACAGAATCTATTTCCTTGATTGAGGTGCGTCTCTTGAATGCAGATAACATCAACTTTCTCTGCTCTCGGGCATTCTTCTCATTCTCTCTTTTTATTAAATACACCTTCGCTGTTTCATTGCATGATTGTGAATGGTGGAAGTGTGTCCTGGCAGTTAAAAGTGACACCATATTGTCTCCCTGTAATGCAGGAAACTGCAGAGCTGTTGGTGGCTAAGGGTAAGCCTGTTTGAGATGTGAGAGCAAGTCCCGCTTTACTTTCACTTGATTGTTACCCAGTGAGGTAGTACCATAGTTGGATAAGTATTTGCACATGGCCATTGAGTTAACCATATCCCACCAAAAAATGAAATGATTGACACATTCTGCTTCTGGGGCCAGCTTTTATCGAGTTTGCTCTCTAGACAGTTGCAGTCCCTTGCTGATGAGATTCTATCTTTCTGAGCAGTCAAAACTTTGCGAAGGCAGCATGGTCCAGGCGGCCAAAACTATCAGTCATTGTCCTGTCCCGACATAGCACAACCACAATAGACACCGCTCCCACAAAAAACACGTAGTATTCTGCTTTGGTAATGTGCACAAAATAGTAGTCGATGATGAGGGAACAGAGCAATCCAAGAAAAATCACAACCAGCAAAAAAAACCACCGCTGCTATCCGACATTTTGAAAACCCAGTGATACAGTATAAAATCAAATACACCATCATTTCATTTCTGTTTCTTGTAATGTCTGTAGGTAGTGGAAGGTGAGTTGTGTGTGTGTGCGTGTGTATGTGTTATGTATTCATGAATGTTTGGTACGTATATATGCAGCATGTGTATGCATGTGTGTGTATAAATGTGTTTGAGTCTATAATACAGATATTTATATATGCGTGACATATCTATATTGTTTGACAATAAGTATGAATAAGTGCATTTATTCAAAAGTAATCAGTACAATAGTACGATGACCGTACAAGGCAAGATGCCATTAGCAAAATCAGACGGCGTAAAACAAGAGCAGATCGCAGACGGCGGGAGAGATGGGCCCAGCCACCATGGTGGAATGAAGTAGTCAACATGGCGTGGCTAGAAAAAAGGAAAGCTGTCAAGGCATGGCAAAAGGCAAGGAAAATTGATCTGTCACTTTCTGAACGCCTGATCAGTCTGAAAGATGAGGTCAACAAGCGGACAGTGGCTTTCAAGTTAATTGCGAAAGAAGCCAAGACAGCGAAATGGAACGAATTCTGCAAGAGCGTTTGCTCCGAGGGATCTCTTGTGACATTCTGGCGCCTTCAACGG